AGCCGCCTCCTTCGCGGTAGGGCCCGGGCAGGGGGCGCGGGAGCGGGCGGTGCGCGGGTCCTTCCTGTCCCCTGGTCGTCCCGCCGCTGACCACGAGGGGCCTGGACCCCTCCACCCCCAGACCCGAGAAAGATGGGCGGGAGAAGGCGACGGAGGTTGGGGACAGCTTTGGGAGGGTGGATGGGACCTTTGGGAAGACAGAAGGGCACGTTTGGGAGACAGTTTTGAGGACAGATGGGGACATTTAGGAGAATTTAGAGGGCATTTGGGGAAACAGTTTTGGGGAACCGTTTTGGAGACAGATGGGGACAATTTGGAGGATATTTTGGGGGTGCCTTTTTGTGGAAGAGATAATNGGAGACAGATGGGGACAATTTGGAGGATATTTTGGGGGTGCCTTTTTGTGGAAGAGATAATAACATCTGGAGAACAGTTTCAGAGAATATTTGAAGGATTTTCTTGGAGTACATTTTTGGGACAGGTCATAGGGTCATATGGGGGGATAATTTTGGAGAACACTTCAGGAACCTGAGAGAGACATTTTGGAATGCATTTCAGGCTACAGTTTTGGGGAACCGGTCTTGGCATATTTGGGGTACAATTGTGGCATTTCAGGTGCAGTTGTGGAAGGACAGAGACATCTGGAGAACAGTTTCAGAGAATATTTGAAGGATTTTTTTGGAGTACATTTTTGGGACAGGTCATAGGGTCATATGGGGGGATGATTTTGGAGAACACTTCAGGAACCTGAGGGAGACATTTTGGAATGCATTTCAGGCTACAGTTTTGGGGGACCGGTCTTGGCATATTTGGGGTACAATTGTGGCATTTCAGGTGCAGTTGTGGAAGGACAGACAGCAGAGGATAGTTGTGAAGAACCTTTTTTTTTTTAAAGATGACCGGTAAGGGGATCTTCACCCTTGACTTGGTGTTGTCAGGACCACGCTCTCCCAGTGAGCAACCGGCCATCCCTATATGGGATCCGAACCCGTGGCCTTGGTGTTATCAGCACCGCACTCTCCCGAGTGAGCCACGGGCCGGCCCTGAAGAACCTTTAAAGGGACCTTTTAGGGGTTCAGATGGAGACACTTTGGAGGGTAGTTTGAAAGAGACTGATGGATCAATTTGATGTGGGTGATGTTGGAAAGGTGACTTTTTACTAAGGGACAAGTTGGGGGCTTGGCATGGGGACACCCTTTTAGAAATAGATGCTGGGGGCTGAACCGGGGATGGTTTAATGGGGTGATGCTGGCAGTGAGTTTTGGGGGCCAGCTAGGGCGATGGGCCTGGGGGCAGATGCTGGGGGACGTGGGCTTGGAGGACCCTGTCTCAGGACCCCCGCCCAGGACCACCTCCCCCCGCAGCTGCGGCTCCAGCCCACCAACCTCAGGTCCTGCCCACCCTGCAGCTCCTGCCCCATCCCGAAACCAGCAGTCAGAGGCAGGAGCCAGGCAAGTGCCCAGGGGTGGGTGGCCAGAGCCCAGAGTCCCTGCCAGGGGGAGTGGGGAGGGGGTAGTGGCCAACCTGGCTCTGTGCGCCTCTGGGTGTTCCCCGCAGAGCCAAGACTGGGGCAAAAGTGATGAGCGGCTGATGCAGGCCGTGGAGAGCAGCGACCCTGTGCGGGTGGCCTCCCTGATTACCCGCAAGGGACTGGTGCCCACCAAGCTGGACCCCGAGGGCAAGTCCGCGTGAGTGCCCATACCCTGGGGGCTGGTGGGCCAAGGGTAGACCACCCTGAGGCTGACCCATGACCTCCGACCTCCAGGTTCCACCTGGCGGCCATGAAGGGGGCAGCCAGCTGTCTGGAGGTGATGCTGGCCCACGGTGCCAATGTCATGAGCACAGATGGGGCAGGTACCGCTAGCCGGGCCCCTGGGGAGAGGGGAGGCACTCAGCCCAGGTGCAGCCTGAGGGTCCAGCCAGGCCCTACTTCAAGGCCTCAGTGTCCTCTGCTGAGAGAGGGGGCTCCCCTGCCCACCCCTTCACTGCACCCAGGGAGACACAGGGGCGTGGCATGCTATAGCACCCAAGGACAGGGACTGTGGCTGGCACCAAGCAAGGTGAGCCAGCAACTTGTGGATGGGGAGTAACTGGGACTCAGGTAATGGTTGAGTCAGAGGGAGTAGCTGGAACAGGGGAGCACCTGGGGCTTAGGGAAGTTTCTGAGAAAGCAACTGAGGCAGGGGAAGAACCTGAGGCTTGGGAGATAGCTGGGATAATGGGAGGAACTGGGACTTGAGGTGTATCCGGAATGTGAAAGTATCCAAGATCAAGGAAGTGCCTGAAAGCAAGAAAGTACCTGCAGTTTGAGGGAGAAGCTGGGCTCATCAGAATAGCTGAACTTGAGAAGTATCTGGAGCATGAGAATAACAGTAGAATTTGGGGAGTATCTGGGGTATGTGGGATAGCTGGGGTTTTGGAGTAGCTGGAGCTCTGGGAGTAGCTGGGACAAAAGGAGAGTCTGGGTATATGACTTAACTGGGGACCTGATGGAATAACTGAAATAGAATGCATGGCCAAAGAGGGTAGTTGGGGCTCAGGAGCATGAGCCAGAGGGTAACTAGCTGTATCTGAAGCTTCAGGGCAGCAGTTTAGTAGGCAGGATGTGTGGAGTAGCTGGGTACTTGTAGAGTATCAAACAGGGATATAGCTGGCACACGGAAGAGCAAGGGGTGTGGGTTAGCAGGAATATATAGAACAACTGTGGATTGTGAGTAGCAGAGCTGGAGTTTGGGTATAGCTGGGCATATAGAGTAGCTGGGGACAAGGGGAGTAACTGGAACAACAGGGCTTGAGGAGTAGATCGATGTGGAGTATAGCTGAGATGGGATTGTCTGGGACACAGAATAGCTGGGTCTTGGAGAGTCTCTGGCCACAGGGAGTAGCATGGTACCTGGGGCTTGGGGACTTGCTAGACATCAGGAAACTCATCACAAATAGTTGACACAGACTTGGGGAGCAGCTGGGAGCTCCTTGAGTATCTGGAGCTGTAGTAAATCTTCTCTCCCTTTCAGGTTACAATGCCCTCCACCTGGCCGCCAAGTATGGGCACCCACAGTGCTTGAAGCAACTGCTGCAGGTCATTTAGTTTCTTGTCTCAGATACTCCCTGAACCCTAGATACTCCCCTTGCCCCTACTGCTCCTGAGTTCAAGCGATTTCCTGAACCTCCTGATATTCCCTAAGTTCTGAATATGCCTTGGCCCCTTTAACGCCTGAGCTCCAGCTACTCCCTGGACAACCAGATACTCCCCGAGTGTCCAGATAACCTCTTCCACTTGAGATACGCTCATGATACCACATATTTCCTGAGCCCCTGTTTCTCCCCAAACATTAGGTAGTAGATACTTTCTTTGCTGCAGCCACTCTCAGAGCTCCCAGCTACTCCCCAACCCCCAGCTGCTTCTGAGCTCCCAGCTATTTTCTCTTTTGCACCAATTCTCATGAAAACAGAGAGTCACTTGGGGACCTGTGACTCTGCAGTTACAGGAGATGGGTTCTGCAGGGCAGGTCGGTGGGAGGGGGAGGCAAGAAACCTAAAACACAGCCGAGCCCAAGGGCAGGGGAGGTGGGTCCTAGAGAAATCAGGCAACAAGGAGGGATGGTTCAGTCTCAAATGACCCGACCGCCTTCCCCAGGCCTCCTGCGTGGTGGATGTCGTGGACAGCAGTGGGTGGACAGCCCTGCATCATGCAGGTGGGTGAAGCCTAGCTCTGTCCTGCCCACCATGGCCCAGAGGGTGCAAGGCTTGGGGGTTATTCTACCTGGGGCCCAGGAGACCTGCCATGAGCCTTCCTGCCTTCTCCTTTTTATTGCCAAATACCTACTGTGTGCCAGGCACTGAGGCTCAGCACAAATTTCAGCATCCCTTTGAGCCACAGACTATTACCCCATTGGACAAAGGAGATGTAACAAGGTCAGTCATTTGCCCGCAGCGAGTGAGTAGTAGGGGACCCAGGTCATCTGATCCCAAAGCACAGCCTATTCTATTGCAGGACTTTGTGAGGATGAAGGGAGGGGTCCAGAGCTTAATTTCCCTTGAGGAACTCCTAGGGACTCTCAGAAAGGCCAAAGCTCTAGGGAGCCAGTGCCTTCATGATCATCAGATCCCAACCCCTTCACCAAGGGACAGGAAAGGACCCACTGAGCCAGAACTCGGGCCAGCATCTGTCCACCATGCCCATGAGATTCAGCCATGGCTTTCTCTGATGACTCAAGAAACATCTGTTTTTTCGGAAACAGAATAAAATTGGATCTGCTTTGGGGTTTTAGTCAATTGGGTAAAAATTCTGTGTAGGTGGAGTACGCTGCCACCTACTGGTGGCGGTGCCTCTGGTCACATGATGGAAGCTCCTCAGTTTTTTTCATTCAATAAATATTTACTGAGTACCTACTATGTGTTAGGCCTTGCTGTTAAGTGTTGTAGATACTACAGCAATCAAAACCCCATACCCCTCAGGCACATAGCTAGTATTCAGGTAAAGTCTATTGACTGAATGATGGATTCTTGTGTTTAATCAGACTGTACCGTGCTGGGATTTAAGCCCAGGGACTCCAGACACTGCTCTTATCCCAGCCGGACGGCCTCCTGGTGAGCCTCCACTCTGGCCCTGTCCACCAGCAGTGACAGAGAGAGAGCTCTTAAGATGTAAAGAGATGATGTCACTCCTCTGCTTAAAATCCTTCCTTGGCTCTGTCACCTTCCTGTAAGAACCCAGGGTCTGGCCCCTGCTGACTTCTCTAGTAATACTTTGCCTGAAGCCTCCTTTCCCTCTTTGAAGATCTGGATATAGATACTTTCTTTTTTTTTTTTTTTCCTTTTTGTCTTTTTTACTGACCGGTAACGGGATCGCAACCCTCGGTGTTGCGCCCACACCGCGCTCAGCCAGTGAGCGGGAACCGGTCTCCACATGGGATCTGAACCCTCGGCGGGAGCGCCGCTGCGCTCCCAAGTGGCGAACTCTCCAGTGCGCCACTGGGCCGGCCCTGGATATAGATACTTTCTCCCACTATTTTGACTTCACCACGCTATTTCCCAGAGCAGGGTCTTTGCCCACGTAGTAACCTCTAACCTCTTCCCTCCCCTGTTCACCTTCAAAACTCAGAACTCAGGTCCAGCCCCAAGAAGCCTGCTTAACCCAGCCGATGTTCGATCCCTCTGGTATACGTTAATAATCACCATATGAGGGTTTAGCACATAGTAGGTACACAATAAATGTTAGTTGAATCAAAGAGGAGAGATACATGAAAAACAGTGAAAACTTCCACTTTAAGAGGGAACCACAGTGGTCCTAGATGTGGTTCTGCCTCTGGCCCTACTGGGTGACCATGGCCCTGGCCAGGCCTCAGTTTCCTCATCCATAAAATGGGATTCATGCTTTTGTAATGGATCTCCCAGGAGAGGTGGAAATTTCTCATGAAACAAAGGATAAGAATCACGCCCAGGCAGAAGGCCCCCAGAAAACGTCCAAGCTGTACCTTACCGCTACTCTCCCCTCTTTTCCAGTGGCTGGTGGCTGTCTCTCCTGCTCAGAGATGCTTTGCTCCTTCAAGGCACATCTGAACCCTCGAGATCGGGTGAGCTTCTGGGGATCTCTTTGGGAAAGATACTACAACTTGAGGTACGCTGCCACCCAAGTGGTGGCATCCCAGGCAGGCTTCGCAAAGTGTGAGAAAATGTGGGGTGAACTTCAGAGGCAGCCATATGAGCTTCCCTACCCTCTCTTCTCATGCTGTACCATCCCTCCCCCTTTCCACAAGTCTGGTGCAACGCCCCTCATCATAGCAGCTCGGATGTGTCACACGGATCTGTGCCGCCTCCTCCTGCAGCAGGGGGCTGCCGCAAATGACCAGGATCTGCAGGGCAGGTGAGCATCCTCCCTCCCAGCCAGTCTACTGTGTGCTGTGTGACCTTGGGTAAGTCTCTTAACCTTTCTGGGCAGGGAACCTAATTGGCCTCCTCCTACCCAGCGAGGATGTTGAGAAGGGTGCGGGGGTTTGGGGATATCCTCACCCTCTCAATAGCCCCCTCCCCCGGTAGGACGGCCCTGATGCTGGCCTGTGAGGGGGCAAGCCCCGAAACAGTGGAGGTGCTGCTGCAAGGCGGGGCCCAGCCTGGCATCACTGATGCACTGGGGCAGGATGCGGCTCACTACAGTGCTCTGGCAGGGGACAAACTCATCCTGCACCTCCTGCAGGAGGCGGCCCAGCGCCCCTCACCACCCAGCGGTATGCAAGCCCCTCCCCTAAGCAATTTCAAGCACCCCCTTCTCCTCCCATCTTCTAAGCAGTTTCTTGTTCACCCCCTTCTTTCTCTATTGTGGATAGTTTCAAGACACCCCCTATTTGCTGCATTATAGGAGGTTTCATGGTACCCTGATCTACTCAGGGCAGTTTCAGTGAGTCCCAGGGCATTTAGAGTAGTCTGGGGGTCTGCTCTGCTTTCCTCTAACCTCATCCTTATTCTCAGAATTTTGCTCTTCCTAAGAACTGACACCCCCACCCACCCCATCCTGGAGATGCCCCTGTCTTCTCTCTTTGAGAGTTTCAAGGTTCCTTTCAGCATTCTACCTAAGTGGTGGATTCCTACCATAAAATTCCTGATTCTTGGGGAATTGGGAAGCCCCTACAAGTCCCATGGGTGCACTAATGCCCTTCTTAGCGCTGGGAATGGAGTCCCTGGAACAGAGAGCCTGACCCTGCTTCCATCTCTCCTCTGCCCTCCTAGAGGATGACTCAGGCGAGGCATCATCACAGGTACGGACCCCTAAGCAGCAAATGAGTCCCTCTCCTTATGCACACGGACCCCTGATCCAGGGTATACCTGGGAGGACCTGTTTGCAAAGAATGCTACCTTCAGGGTACGCTGCCACCAAGTGGCAGCAACACACACAACATAACTCCTAGAACTGGGTGAGAAACTGGGGGGTGGGGGGATGGGGCCAAATTATGGGGCTGGGGTG